CTTTATTTTACAGTTAAAATAATTTTTTATGAAATAAAGTTTAATGTTACAACTAATCGTGGATCCCTTTAATCATTTTAATCATGTGGTCATTTAGTCCTTTTCAAGCCAGCTTTGTTAGCACGCCGTGATGTTTGACAGCATCAAAGGCAGCAGAGAGGTCAACAAAGGCTGTCCCGGTGATCAAACCCTTTTTGTTGCTGTCTTCAATGTACTGAGTGAGATTTGATGGATCGTTTGTGGTCTAAGTAAGGAAACAACTTCAGTTTTTTTTTCCACTTCTTTTAACTGTTACGATCATTAAGCATTGACTAAACAGAGCAAATAACCAATGCCTGGCCTTTGGACACTTGTTTTATAAATTTACTGTGGATGCCTTATATTCCAACTGTTTTATTTGTTTTTAGGTCTTTGAAAATGAAACTAAAAGTAGTGATGAGTTGAATTTTACCTGATAAAGTCTGCCTCTCCACAGCTGAATTATAGGTGAGGACTTCACTCCAGAATCAACAGAAGCCACAGCTGTAAAAAAAATCTGCTTTATTTTTGCATTTTAGCAAATTCAGGCATGAAAACACAAAAACAAGGCAGTGCAAAGAAGCCAAAACACCAACATGACTACTCTGTTTTTTGAAGAGCTGGATGCAAACTATAATAAATTAGAATCAGTACAAAATGAGAGGTTTTTAATAAAAACTAAATGATCCCAGTAAAGAAGAAGAGCTCCTCACCTCTGCAGCTCATCCTCTCTGAAGAATCGTTACTCTGGGCTGCTTCTCCGTCCATCAGGACGCTCGTCTCATCTGTCAGAACCTCCACCTCCGCCTGGACTCCTCCGCTGCCCCCCAGCACCAGCTCTGTCTCCACCCCCATCAGGTCCTCCGTCTCAGCTGCCCCCTGAAAAACAAAGTCAGAGTCAGTATCTGAAGCAGATGAATCCAGAGAGGAAACAGACGAGCAGTTTCAGGTTTACTTCCAGCCGCAGCGCAGACGAACACTCGCTGAACAGCTGGCAGATCTTCACCAACACTTCCTGAGCCAAGACCGTCATGAAGGTGCTGAACTGCATCAGCTGAGGAAACAGACAGACAGCTGAAAGAAACGAGCTGAAAACAGCAACAAGGCTTGTTGTGAAAAGAACATTAAATCTTAATGAGTCACAGTAATCACTGAACGCTGAGTCAGCGTTCACTCTGCATGTTTCTGTATGTGTAGCCATTATTAATTAAAACATTCAACTCAGCGCTTATGTAGGAGATTTTGAATATATATATATATACAGTGGTTTGCAAAAGTATTCATACCCCTTGAACTTTTCCATATTTTGTCACATTACAACCACAAACATAAATAT